GAAGTACCCAGCCGTTAAAAATTTATATAAGTATGTTACGTTTTTTTTTTCTACCATTTTTTTTTTTTTTTTTTTTTTTTTTTTTTTTTTTTTTTTTTTTTAAGTGAAAATATGTTGATAAAAATTTAATTATATTAATTATATTCAATACATATATATAAACTAAACGACAAAAAATATTTACGCGGATGCTTTTATACTAGTTGTGTACACAGTTTCGAGGTCGCCACTTTCTTTGGCGCTTTTCGTCTGTATAATGAAGAAAAATAATTTAAATTTATAATAATTTATTACATTAAAATTATAAAATTAGGAAATTTGCACACCTTCTCTAGTAAATTATGCACAGCTTTCATCCATTGTTTTACTGAGTACTCTCCCGAAGGTAAAGTAATACTTTTATTTAATCGAGCAAACGCCATTAAATGAGTACCCTATAACTAAAGTTATTTTTTATCAGCTTCCGACACCCTGGGAATAATTATTTTTACCTGTATATTTGTACGACGATGACGGAATTTTACATAAAAAAAAAAGATTGTTTTTTTTTGAGTTTTATATTTTTTGTCATCTCGTAAATCTAAAAATGACTAATGCACAACCTCCTCCTAGCCGAGGAATGGTAATTTTCTCGGTATCTTTTTATATCTCTACAGCCCTTATAATGGTACTTGTTAATAAGGTATTTCTAAAAGAATCTTTCTTATTATAATTTCACTATAATGTTTCTATAATGTTTTTCGCTATAATTTTCACTATAATTTTTTAAAATAATTTTCACTATAATTTTCACTATAAATTTTCACTATAATTTTCACTATAAATTTTCACTATAATTTTTATCTTTATTATAGTGGGTGTTAACGAGCTATGCACTACCGTTTACATTACTATGGTTTCAAGTCTTTCTTGCTATAATATTTTTACACATTTCTTCACTTTTCGGACTGTTCATATTGCCCGTGATCAAAAAAGAAATCTGTATTGGATTAATGCCGCTCATTATTATAAATGTTTTAGGACTTAGTTTTAATACGTTATGTTTACAATATGTGGATGCAAGTTTCTATCAGGTTGGATTTTCTCAATTTTCCTTTTTTTTTTTTTTTTTTGCGTTTTCATATATATTTTAATTTTAAATATCTTGATTTAATATTTTTTTATATATCTTGATTTAATATTTTGTTTTAAATAAAGGTTGCACGTGCTTTGGTTCTTCCTTTCACAGTTTTATTTTCATACATCTTCCTTAAACAAAAATCATCCGAAATGATTCTTTTGGCATGCCTTATCGTTTGCATAGGTTTTATTGTTGGTGTCTCATCCGAACGTTTAACAGTTACTATGCTTGGAACCCTTTTTGGAGTACTTTCTTCTGTTTCTACAGCATTACATGCTATTGTTATAAAGAAGAGTTTAGAAGTAGTTAAAGGAAATACAATGGAACTTGTATATTATAACAATATTCTTAGCATTTTTGCATTTACACCATTGATTTTTCTTTTTAACGAACAAACAGAGGTTTCAAACTTATTAATATCTAAATCTAATACTTCATTTCGAACATTTGTCATTGGTATTTTTATTACGGTATGTTTATTGTTTATTGTTAACTCAAAGTAACAATAATATAATTATTAATCTAACGAAATTTTATTAAAATGCAATTAATTAATATTAATGTAATTAAATTTATTTTATAGGGATTTTTCGGATTTTTGATTAATATTGCAGGATTTCTTCAGATAAAAGTTACTTCCCCAGTAACACATATGATTTCTTCTGCATTCCGCGGTGTTATTCAAACAGTATTTGGTGCACTTATATTTGGTGACATTTTAACCATAGGTCGTGTTGAGGGGATCGCCCTAATTCTTGCAGGAAGTTGTTTTTACACATGGATCAAAGACCGAGAATCTAAAAAGAATACTGCAACCACCATCACTACAACATCCACAACCGGTGATGTGAGAACATATGATAAATTAGAAAATGGTGAAATTGAAGATGATAATAGAACTGAATCAATAACGGAAGTAAACGAAAAGTAAATTTTTAGAAATTTTTTATAAAAAATTAGATTAATATTTATTTATTTATCATATGAACAGAACAAAGAAAATTTTAATTTGTTTTTTATTAAATAGTAGAAATATAATAATAATAATAATAATAGTAATAATAATAATAATAAGTTCCAATAAAAAAAAATTTTTTTTTAAACCACAATCAAATCACAAATTATTAAATTATTGCATAAATGTACAAAGCATACCTCATTGTCTATTAACAAACTGCCATTGGAACTTGTTCTCTCTCCTTATTTTTATTATTCTCAAGATTATTCTCTTTATTTTTATTATTCTCAAGATTTCTCTCTTTACTTTTATTATTTTCAAGATCTTTTTCTTCATTTTCAAGATCTTTTTCTTCATTTTCAAGTTCCCTCTCTTCACCTTTATTATTTTCAAGTTCTCTCTTTTCACCTTTATTATTTTCAAGTTCTCTCTCTTCATCTTTATTATTTCCAGAAAGTTGTGGAATTTTTGAAAATTCCAGCTGCAATTTTTGAAATTCTTTTGTAATATTTTCATCAGCCAATAATTCTTCAAGCTCCTTTTCCAATTCATTATCTGTGTCAATTGTTTTGTCAGATAAAGAATCTGCCCCCAATTTAATGGCATTATCAATTTCTTTTTGATCAGCCAAAACATCCTGTAATCTATCTATTGTTTCTTCTACTGAATCTGCAGTAAGTCCAGCAGATTCAAAAATACTGCGTAAAGCATTTGTTCCAACATTATATATATCTATTATCTTTTAATTTTAAATCATAAATTGTCATTTTTATATTTTGGGAATAATAACAATTCTTAAAAAAATAATAATATAATTATAATTTCTCACCTCTGAATCACAAGCAGCACCTTGAATCTTTAAAAGAATTTCTTCAACTACTTCTAGAGACCCAAGCCTTTTACTTAAAACTTGTTCAAGATTTTTCTTTTGCCTTAAACAATATTTAGCTGAAACTTTTTGTTTACGAACAATATATTCATTGATTTTCGTTGAAATTCTAAAAAATAATAGGAAGGTAATATTATTTAATGAAGTTTAAATTTCTATATTCGTGTCTAATTAAAATATATATATACATATATATATACAAACTCTTTTATACGAAATTCAAGATCTTGTATTTGTTGATGTAATTTTTGACACGTTTCTCTGATAGCAGTAATTCCACGATCGGTAGATGTAATTTCAAAATTTTCTTTATCAAGAGGATTTTTTGTTTTGAATTTAATAATCTGAAAACTTATTAGCATATCATAAAAAGAAAAAAATAAAAAATTAAAAATTCATATTAATATTTGAATACTTAGAATATTTACCACATTATTTTCTTCATTTTTTACTAAAATTTTTTGTTTAAATTCTAAATAAGTTATTAACACTTTTAGATCATCATCTGAAAGTATAACTCCTGGAAATACCACTGACGCGAATTCAGCTTTAAGCATTTTCATTGTGAAAAGATTATCGGTAATTTTATGAATGGCATTCTTTTCTTGATGTAAAATAACTCCATCAGCGGCTTCTTTTAATAAATCCATTATTATCCATTTTGTTGAAGAAATTTTTGAATTAATAATCTTTTGAATTGGATTTAATATAAGTTTTGAAATTGCCCATTTTATCCAAGATTGATTTTGTAAAGTCATAAATTCTTCGAAAGGAAGCAATTCCGCATTAATATATAATTCATTCTATAAAAATAATTATTATTTTTTTTTTTTTAAAAAAAAAAAAAAAAAAAAAATCAATGCAATAATGAAATACAAAAAAAAATTTTTAAAAGTTCAATTAAAGTAGAAATAGTAATTACAAAAACACAAGGAAGGCTCATAGGATGATAACCGTTAGTTTGAAATTTTTCCTCGAGTTGGACACTTGTGTCTAAACAAATAATATTTTCCCCTAACCAGCCTTGTCTACTTGTTTCCTTCAAGACGTTTTTCCAAAAATCTACACACATATTGAAGGTATTGGGATTCGATTTTTTTAATTTTGAAAATTCTGCCCAATACCATTCTGCCTGTCCTTGTGTAGGGAGAGATCTCAAGTAACTACGAATGTTAGAATTTTTCGGGTTCTGGTTCATTGCGAATATTATTGTAAATTTTAAATTTTACCAATTTTTACAAAAAAGAAATACAAGATTATTTATCACGTGAGAAATTGAGAAACGCGTTTTGAATAGGTATACTGACGATTTTAACTTGACCAATATCACGTGATATTAGTAACCGTGGGAATTTATTATATTTTTTTTAGGGACTTGGAATTTTTTTGGGTGTGTTGAGGTAGTGATAATAAAATGTAACGCCCCTAATTGTGACACAAACCCTAACCCCTAATTTTGACATAAATAGATAATATATATATTACAGGGGTTGGGTTTATATTTAGTACTGTTCGGCTTTTTAATATAAAAATACTTGTACTGTACGGTTTTTTAACATAAAAAAAAGTTCATACAGTACAATTAGATTCTTATAATATATATTATTGTACGAATTTTGTGCAAAAATTTATATAAAATCGTACAGTACAAAATAGCGTTTCGTATCGTACAGTTTATCGTCATACCTGATTTTACAAATCTTGTTTTTATTGGTAAAAGTTAGGGTTAGGTCACGGGTATAAATCCTTTTTTGTGTTATGTAGGTATGACGATAAACTGTACGGTCGTATTAATTTCAATTCATACAGTACAAAATAGCTTTTCGTACCATACAGTTTATCTGTATATCCTTACAATTGGAGATCTACGTGGTGTGGCTAAATTAGAGTGGCCTCTAAGCAAAAAATAGTTTTTTTTTTTTACTATTTACTAAATAAAATAAAAATTCATGAGCTAATGCCAAGCCTTACTCCCGAACCCGCGAAAAATTATTTACTTAGAAGCAAAATTTGTGTAACAGATTATAAGGGTCGATATTAAATCAAATATGCGAGTTTATGCAGTTCATACGAAGTTATAAAATATAAATAATTACAAAGATGAATTAAAAAAAATAATTATTATTAAAAAAGTCAAATATCACAATAGCGAATGAAAAAAACCCACTAGATCATATGGCTTATAGCAGGTTTTCCTGGTTCTTCACGAAGCTACGAAGTAGATTGGAATCAATCCATTCTGGTGTGAAAACAATTCGTGTAACATCAATCAATCCGAAAGGGAATGTTTTGAAAACGTATTTATAAACTATGCATTCAAAATGTTTTAATTTCAATAATTTAAAGTTCTCTCTTTCTGTATTTACTGTCTATATTCGTCTATATCTATTGTCTATATCCGTCTATATCTATTGTCTATTGTCCATATCTCTTTATATATCACTAATATTGTACATATAAAATCGTATATTTAATACATATATAAAATATATCTCTTATATTAATAAAAATGGTCAGTATTAATTTTGATTCTTGGTTAAATCCGGGAGATCCAGATACTTCCATACTTGAGCAATTATGTGAAGATATTTCATTGAAACTTAAACATGGTAAAGAATCAATCATTAGATTTGGCAATCAAAATAGTCAATTTGATGAACAAAGTGGATTTTTTAATGAATTAATTAGAAGAAGAGGTATCGAATCTTTGGGAATAAAAAATTACGCCAGAGATGTTGAGACTTATATTGATTTACTTACCGAAGAAAAAATTAATGTGGATGATATTAAGAAAACATTAAAAATTTTATTAAATGATGCGGAAAAAAATAAAATTAATGCGGAAAAATTGAGAGATGATTTCGTGACATTTAAAGATGATTTCTTTCAAATTAAGTTTAATAATGTAGAGCCTGTGAAACGTAGTCGTGACAATAATTTATTCAAAATATTGAAATCAATCTTTCAAGCATTTACTATTTTCTCGGTGTTTTTATTATCTATTTTTTATCTAGTCTATACTTATTATTATAAATGGTTTATGATAGGATTGATTCTATCAATATTTTTGTTTTTTGTTCCTTGTGTTATTGAGACGAAATTAGAGAAAAATCATGATAATTATTTGAATCTTGAAGAAAACGAAGCAACAAAATTTTTACAACATATTGAAGGAATTAAAAACAAATTACCAGCGATTTCTGATAATTTAAATATTTTAGTTCAATTTTGGAATCAACAAATTTATGCTGACGAACAACATATTAGATCTTTGGAATCTTTAAATGCTAATGAAGAAGTTAAATTACCACATGAATTAGGAAAAAAAGTTAAAGATATTTGGAAAGAAATTGGTGATAAAAACATCAATAATCATCGTAATTTGAATTCTATTATAACTAGGAATTCCATGCTTGGGTAAATTATTTATTATCTATTATTTATCTTTTATATAATATTATACACACATTTATTTCGTTATATTGTACTTTACATTACGTATTATGTACGTATTGTATAATACTAATACGTGTCATATTATTATTATTTATTTATTTAGTTAACATCATCATTAATAGATTTAAAGAAACTTTCTAATATAACAGCTAAAGAAAGAATCGATTCCATAGTTATAATAAAATATTAATATATATATAAAATATAAAATAAAAATAATCAAAGACTGATAAATTATAAAATGTTTAAGAGATATAACTACACGTTGTCAATTATCAATTCACGCAAACTTTTGCCTGAATAAGTATCTCTCGTTTTCCCTCATTCGTATTATATCCAATTGCAGGGAAAGAACATATTTTCACTTCCAAATTTTGAGATTCATCTTCATCAAATATTCCTGTCATGGTATAGGGATCCACGGGTGTTTTAGAAGGGAACCATTGTGGCTCGTCGATCATAGGTTCTTCTACTTTTAGGCGAAAAAAGAATATTCTTATGATATCTCGAATAAGATCAGGAGCCATATTGTTAAATTTGGTTTCTTTTTTAGGATCTTTAACGGTTCGAATAGAATTCACTAGATCTTTGAGATTATCCAAAAGATTCTTAATAAATTGATTTTCTTTTTCAGTTCCATTTTCATCAGGAATATTATTAGCAAATCCTCGATTTCCAAGAATGGCATAAATTTGTTGTCGTAATTTTACTGGAAGAGCTCGAGTTACGTCGTCATTGCCTACTCTATCGTTCGCAAAACGCTGAATAAGTTCCATAAGTTTTTTGACTTCCAAAACCGTAAGTCTTTCGAGGTCATCATATTTTTCTTCTTCTTCTTTTTTTGGGTTAAAGTAAGAAGAAGTATCATTTAAAATTGTTTCTAATATTTTTCTTTGTAAAGCAGCTTTGACATATATTTTATATTGTATTTTATCAGTAATTTCAGAAATGTCAGAAATGTCGTATTCTTTCAATAATTCATTTGCATTTGATTCATTTATATCTATTCCTATTTTAACCGCAGAGAATTCATCAAGTTTTCTTTGTAAGGTTCCAATATCTTTTGCAAGTCGTACCTTGTTATTGGGATCGTAATCACCGAGCATAAAATTCGTTGCGTTTCCCAATGCAGATTGATATTTTGCTGCTTCTCTCCTAAGGTCTTCAATAATTCGAATTATAGGTTGTTTATCCTTATCAATATTGATAATTTTTTTCAATTCATCATTCTCAATTTTCAATTTTTCAGGGTCTGATTCATATGATTCATTTGCATTTGATTTATTTACATCTGTTTCTATTTTAACCCCAGAGAATTTGTCAAATTTTCTTTGGGTTTCAATATCTTTTGCAAGTCGTACCTTGTTATTGGGATCATAATCACCGATTTTCGACTTTAAAGATTCGACTTTCGAGTTTAAAGGTTCGATTTCTGAACTTAAGGAATTATTTTCTGCCTTATTTTCTTTCTCAAGATCACTGTTTGTTGATGACGCGGTGTTGATTTTCAACTTTAAGGAATCGATTTCTGATCTTAAAGTACCATTTTCTGCCTTTGATAATTGACATTCTTTCTCAAGATCATTGTTTGTTGATAAC